CAAGCTCCTCACTGCTCTATCGATACTTCCAGGGAAATAAATCTCGGACGAACTGGATCCCTTGCTTCACGCTTAGGACCAGCCTTGCCATTGACAATTGTATCAAACCACCCTCAATCACTGGGAAGAAGTTCCACCCAAACAACTTCTCCCCGCCAACCATTGCTCTGTGGAACCGACTCCTAAGAGGATATTTCCCGATTACAAAAATATTAACCTGTTCAAGGCTAGCGTTAACCGTTGTCTTCCGATCTTATCCGCATAAACTGCCTCTTACTTGGTAATCCTCTACCTTGAGTGGCCCTTGTAAAAATCACATTTTGGGACTATAAGAATTTATTTAGAGATAATACTGATTTTCTCATACAAGTCTTATTATTTAACCCATAACTGGGGAGAGAATAATTGGATTCATACGATTCCCAAGAGTATTTGCAACAAACTCGACTGGAATTCTAACTCGACTTTCTAGTTTTAAATTCCGGACCGTTATTTATTACACCGCCCGCACATCGAAGCTAACAGCACATGGTTTTATACAAATAATACTAAGCAAACAATATATATATATATATATATATATATGAGCGAGCGTTTGCAATAGGGATTGGCTAGCCGCTCTAGTTGACGAGTATCCGCGAATATGGTGGTCAGCTATATATATATATATATATATATATATATATATATATATATATATATATATATATAATAAAAAAAAGCTTAAACACTAATATTCCATGGTCATAATTTATTCAACTAGAATCTTAAATACGATCCAATTCATCAGACCTACAAATTCAAAAAGAAAACAGAAAAAACAACTCCGGAAATAAAGATAGAATTTAGAGAAAGTGTAAGTATGAGAGTGTGGGACGAATGTTAGTGTTAAAGTGAGGGGTAACAGACGAGAGAAGGTGGGAGATTAAAACTTAACATAGAGGTTTTTTTTTTTTTTTACTAGAGGTGAGTGGAAGGGGGAAATATGAATGTTGTCGGATGTCTAATACATTAAAGATACATTTCGTGGTGACATACACACACCATAGACGATCTAATGTTAAAGATCTATATATATATATATAGGGGTGAATTATTAAAAAAAAAATATCATTATAAATTTTGAAGTTTGTCTCTAACGAACTAACAGACATATACAATTCGAACATTCAAAGTAAAAATTTTTTTGTTTCTTTTTTTTTTGGGGGGGGTCGTTCGTTTTATTTACGATCTGCAGGCACCAAAGATGTTCTTATTTTAGACTGTATTTCTTTATTTGTTTTTTTTGTTGTTTGTTTTCATATGCAAATGTTTTATTCTCACCTGCCATGCAAGAGTGAACGTTGTTGGTGGTCGGTAGTCCATCATCGCCTCAGCAAAATTGCATCAAACACGCCGAACTGAACGTTGGCTTACCGTGTCCATCTCGACGTTCGCATAGAAAATCGAACGCATTTTCCTGATTGCCCATCAATAATTAATGAGTATACGCTGGAAAAGAGCCGCATGTTTTGTTCGCTAACAACAGGTGATCTTTTCATATCGATCGAATATGCCATCCAACCATCACTGAAATGAACTATTTACTTACTCTTCGTCTCATAGATATGTGAGGGATTCAAATAAACTACTCTCCTTAAATCATTGACCAATGTTGTGCGTCCAAGTCAATATAAATGCTCCAATGTTGTTGCCTCATGCCAGAGACAACTAGACTTAGATAGATAGGATTAAACATTGCATAGTGACTGTCACTTTAACGGCTCAAACGATTTTCAGCACATGGTGTAAACAGACACTCACCATGCACAATTGATCTCTATGTCTACAATGTCTATATGCACGTATAAGCATTCTATGTCCAATATTCAGCACTCTTCCATCATAAATATAGCAAATTTTAAACAATATATAAACAATATATATATATATATATATATATATATATATATATATATATATGACTGTGTGTAATGGATAGCGACGCGAAATAAGAAATCCGAGAGCTGATTTCAAATTACAGTTGAATTTATTTTTTATTCACTCATGCGCAAATACACTTAGGATATATATATATATATATATATATATATATATATATATATATATATATATATATATATAGATAGATAGATAGATATAGATATATATAGATAGATAGATAGATAGAGAGAGAGAGAGAGAGAGAGAGAGAGATTACTTGTATTATTTACATTATTCGGACTGTGATCATCTTCATTGCCGTATACACAATGTTTCGGCCGTTGTATCCCCGGCCTTCTTCAGGTGATTGGAAGAAGGCCGGAGCGTACAACGACCAAAACCTTGTGAATATGTCAATAAACCTGAGGTTAATACTCCCAGCAATGTAAATAATATACGTAATTATAATACCTCATCTCAGATATATAGACACACATACACACGCTCATATATATATATATATATATATATATATATATATATATATATATATATATATATGTAAGATGAGAATAATAGAGTACAATTACAACTTCGTTACATTTAATTTAAAAATGTGCAGAGGAGAGCAAAATATTATTTATTTTTAGGATATTAAATCAAAAACATTTTAAAAATCGCTACACAATTACGATCGTGTTTTGACGCATATCAGAGTGTCTCCTCAGAATATTGTAAATCACGTGAACGATTACTTTAATTTCAAAAGTTTTAAAAGCAATTTTTCACGTTTTTGATTTAATATCTAAATTATATATATATATATATATATATATATATATATATATATATATATATATATATATATATATATTTAGATTAAATCCGACAAATATTTTAATATATTTTCTGTTTATACGTTATTTTATAGATACAACTTTTTTTTGAGTAAATGCTAAGTTTTAATTAAAGAGTATTAATTATATTTACCGGCCTGAATATTCGAGAAATTTTGTAGAAAATAATAATTCATTTCTGCTCTGAAACGTAACCTAAATGACAACATATTAGATGAAATGGACTAAATCCAACAAATATTTTCATATATTTTCTGTTTATACATTATTTTTATAGGTTACATTAAATGGGTGGTTCTCGTACAATTACCGAAGTTAAGCAACGTCGAGCCTGGTTAGCAGAAAGATAGCTGAGCGCTTCGGAATACCAGGTGATTTAAGCTTGGATGTGCGGGTAATGGCTCCGAATTTTGAATCAGAAAAACGAATTCTAATTCCCATTGGGTTCATTATTATTCACTTATGCAAAATACCCTTAGAAAAGGTATGAATCCACCACTTCTACCTCCAACAATTGGTTAATTTGTAAGATTTATATTACTAAACCATTATTCCCCCCCACCGTTCCAAATTCATGCAAAATAAAAATACTTCCTGGCTTTAAATAACATGCAAAGGGTTGATAAACTGTAAAAAACGAATCAATCAATCAATTCTTGCTACGACCATTGTAATAGAAAGAAAGAAAGAAATTGACAGGACTGTAATAGATAGATAGATAGATAGATAGATAGATAGATAGATAGATAGATAGATAGATAGATAGAAATTGATATACTGTAATAGATAAATAGATAGATAGATAGATAGATAGATAGATAGATAGAAATTGATATACTGTAATAGATAGATAGATAGATAGATAGATAGATAGATAGATAGATAGATAGATAGATAGAAATTGACATACTGTAATAGATAGATAGATAGATAGAAATTGACATATTGTAATAGATAGATAGAAATTGACATACTGTAATAGATAGATAGATAGATAGATAGATAGATAGATAGATAGATAGATAGATAGATAGAAATTGACATACTGCAATAGATAGATAGATAGATAGAAATTGATATACTGTAATAGATAGATAGATAGATAGATAGATAGATAGATAGATAGATAGATAGATAGATAGAAATTGACATACTGCAATAGATAGAGAGATATATAGATCGATAGAAATTGATATACTGTAATAGATAGAAAGAAAGAAAGAGAGAGAGAAAGGAATCAGCCGATTCTGCTACCTTGGTTTCAACCTCTCTGTATCTTCAGGCGGCTTCGATCAATTCGATTTCCTAACGCTTTATCTTTTAAAAAATAAAAAATTTATGAACGCTATATTTAAAAAAAAAAGGGTTTGGTAAAATGTAAAGAGAACGGGGAGGGGAGAATCAAGTATAATGGAAATGCATCGGTAGGGAATTCATTGAAATATACATACGTTTTTTTTATCCAACTTCAAATGAACTCAAAAGGAACTTTTTTAATTTGTATACAACATAAACAACATAATTTTCAATCTTTTATTCAAAAGTTTTTTTTTGGTGGGGTGGGGCTGTATATATATATATATATATATATATATCGCCGCTGGGCGTTGACCTGAAAAATGTCCAAGTTTAGATTTAAATACGTTCTATGCCTGATATCGAGCACTTTATCCCATAAATACAGCATGCCTCACAGAAGAGAAAACAAGCCAGCCATAACACACACACACACACACACACACACACACACACATATATATATATATATATATATGTGTGTGTATATATATATATATATATATATATATATATATATATAGAGAGAGAGAGAGAGAGAGAGAGAGAGAGAGAGTTGTTCAATAATATTGATATGGAAAATGGATAAACGGTTTATGTCTATTCTTTTTATCGTCTTTGTTCATCGATGTTATTTCAGATATTCAACAATAAATGTTTGTTTCTATGCTTACTATTCCGGTCTATTTTCAAAGATGTTTAGGTTTTATATTTAGGGCAAATCAGCGTTGTAGTCAACAATTCGTTGACCTGTAAACACTGTAATCTGGCATATTAGATAGATAGATAGATAGATAGATAGATAGATAGATAGATAGATAGAAATAAAGAAATTGACATACTGTGATAGATAGAAATAAAGAAATTGACATACTGTAATAGATAGATAGATAGATAGATAGATAGATAGATAGATAGATAGATAGATAGATAGATATAAAGAAATTGACATACTGTGATAGATAGAAATAAAGAAATTGACATATTGTAATAGAAATTGACATACTGTGATAGATAGAAAATAAAGAAATTGACATATTGTAATAGAAAGAAAGAAAGAAATTGACATACTGTAGTTGATAGATAGATAGATAGATAGATAGATAGATAGATAGATAGATAGATAGATAGATAGATAGATAGATAATGAACAAATGTAGGCAGACGGGCAACTAGATATATTATGTTAGTGATGTGTTAAAGATTATTGCTGAAAGTGTCTTTCAGGCTTTAAATACGAATGGACTATTGCTTTGGACATCTCGAAGGCATTTCACAGTGTTTGGCATATTGGTCTTCTTCAGTAGTTGAAAGGTTTTGGTATTCCTGTACGAATTTTGAACTAATTCTGACTTTCTTATCGAATGGGGAATTGAAAGGGGTCCTAAATGTTCCCTCTTCTAGATCTTTTTACATGAATGCAGGCGTTACCCAGTTCTCTATCCTTGGATGCTCGTTATTCTAAAGTTTCCTCAACGGCTCTACAGATGGCATCAGTCCTAAACTCGGTATCTATGCTGATGACACAACCATTTTTCCTGTCTTCATATTATGTCTTATCGTTTTAAAGTGAAATTGGCAGCTGATCTAAAAAAAAAAGATGATCTACTCTCTGTTGTTAACTGGGGCAAGGAATGCCTTGTTAACTTTAACATCTTCAAAAACAAAAAGGCTCCTTTTTATTCATCTGAGAGAACCCTTTTTATCTTCCATCAGCATGGCTGAGGGTAAGATCTAGGGGATTGATCTATTGCCCCTGCTAGGACTAACTTTCTTCGTTGACATGAAGAGAAAAGATTATATTGAATCATTTGCTAAATCTGCTGCTAGGAGAGTGGGTTCATTGTATCGTGCAAGACAATACTTATCGGCAGAATCTATCTTACAGATTTATAAATCTATAATTTGTCCTTGCTTTAAATACAGCCTTATTTGTTCTGGTGCTCTTTCTATATATTTGGAGATTCAATATCAAGAGAAAAATTTAAGACTCAACAGATTGAAATTAAGCCTAAAAAGATTAGCGTCACATATGCCTATTGCTTATTGACTTGCATATGTATTTTTATCTGCATATACGTATATATGCAAGCTAACATGTATATAATATAAAACTTGCAAAACGTGTCTATCTTATCAAGAAGTTCCATCAAGACACGGGGTTTCTTTCTGGCGTGATCACGCAAACCAGTCATGTGACTTGATGGGAATAAATATTATTCTTTTTTTACCCCATCCCACTTGCTTTGCTTGTCTTTCTTCATCTCTATCTTCATTTTTTTCATTTATGCTTGTTTACCTTTTTCTTTCTATTAGTTTTCTTTTCTTTCTTTTCTTTCTTTTGTCTATTATCTCCTGTCTTTCCTCATTTTTTTTTAAATATCCTTTTTCTCAGTGGCATTTTTTCATTAATGGCGGTCAGGAATTATATCCTTACTAGCAGTAAAGCCCGGCGTTGCCCGGATATGTAACAGTAAGAGATAGATCAAGTATCGACCATCATAAAGACTGAAAAATAAAATTGACAAAGATTATTGTTTAAGGTTGACGGACACGCATGTCTTAATTAGTTTTTTTTTTTTTTACGAATTGGTCAAACTCAAACAAAAACATTATTTTCAATCGCGAACTTAGGAGTCTACTGATTGAATAATTATAAACAATTGTCTTGTAAATGGAATTTTTAAAGCATTCTGAATGTAAAAATAAAGAAAAAAGTGTGAAACATTACCTGCCAAAAAAAGTGAAATTTTGTTAAAATCGGTTGAAAAATGTAGGAAATCCGATCTCATATATAAACGAACACACACACACACACAAACAAACTGGGTTTTATAATAAGTATAACTCGATATGAGTTGTCCCCATTTCATTCTCGCGATGCCTCTTAATCGTGTTTTCAAATTGATTTTGTGCAAAAACAATTGTGTTTTTCCGATTTTTGGCGCTGTCAGAACCACCGCAGGGTAATTTTACGTTGTCCTGTGAAGTTTTGTTGAAATCGGTTGAAAAATGTAGGAAATCCGATCAAATATATAAACGTACAGACACACACACACACACAGACACACACACACAACCTGGGTTTTATAATAAGTATGATTTCATAACCTTCATTACGCACATACACACAAACAAGATTATACCTAAATTGCCGCTGTTACGGACTCGGTGCCTAAATCAATGATGGGTTTCCCTGTGGCAAGGAAACTAAAAAACGTGAACCCTGATCTCCTGTATATGTGCTTCCGCGTGTCACTTATCCATAGTACCACATTCGTCTTTGCCCTGTATCATCCTCAGGACGAAGAGTCGGTAATCTTCGATCGAATATTCGAGAGTATTGACAATAGCCTTCACCGACTTTCCCGCGGCCGGATTTCGCATATGAGTGACTTCAGTGGTCACCACAGATAGTAGTTAGTCCGCTTTAACATAACCGTTGAGAAAGGCAAATATTACGGAGACAACGCCATCGCCTATGAACTAAACAAGATCATTGAAGAACCCACCCGAGTCCCCCGATGCGATGCAACCGCATGCAAACCTCCTCGAACTTTTCTAACATTCTGCCCTGCGATTTACTCAGCAAAAGTTTTACCCCCACCATATTGGCAGACAATTTCGAGTCAGTATTCAGACTGACTCCAAACCAATGACATCCTTTGATTTACCGCTCCATATAACGTTTTCTTCGCTACGCGAAGGCAGAGTGGGGCAGCTTTCGGTCGCTTTCGATCGCCTATATGACGGAAACTCATATACCAACCTTCTTCAAACATGCTGCAAGCAAAACTGCTGCTCTAGTCTCCGAATGGATCCTTTCAGGAATGAGGTGTTTTATACCCCACAAGAAATTCCAACAAAAGACAGTCTGCACTGACTTACTCCTGAATGCGCACGGTGGAGTAATGGATAACGGATTGGATTGAGGAATCGGAGAGCTGAGTTCGAATTCCAGTCAAATCCATTACATTCACTTACGTGCTAATACCCTTGGGAAAGGTGTGAATCCTCTTTCTTCTCCCTCCTGCTATGGGTAAATAGCAGGACAGACTGGGTTCTATAGCCTTGGATGGCAACTGGTCTAGGAGAAGGAAAACTCTGAATTCAAAACCCGCGGAGGATGAATGGAGTCTCTCTGAGCCTTGGTTGACAATCCTTTTAGTGTTGGTGTCACGATAAAAAAAACACCCTTGATAGCCCTAGCGAAGCATCAAGAATTCAGCTGTTTGACACGATTATGAACTACACCAATCAAAGTATTGGTGAGTTCAATCTCGGCTGAGGCCGCAAGATGATGGAGCCATAACTCACCAGAACCACTACTTCAAAATTAGATCTCGCGAATTCTGGAAGATCCTCAACGAAATTATGAACAGTCAAAGCGGCGGTGCCCGCTATTATAAATGGCCCCAAGGTCATATCTTCCTCGACAGAAAAGGCGAAGTTCTTCGCATCGATCTTTTCCTCAAATTCAACATTAGATGACAAAGGACATGCCCTTCTTACCTTCCCACGTCTCAGTGAGCACAATCTCAGTAATATACTCATTTCAGTAAGAGAAGTCTCTATTCACTCCTGTAGTTCACTGCTACTAACAAGCAAGAATTTTTTTTTCTCCTGATGATGGCCAAAACTAGTCATGAAACATGACTGAAATAATAAACCACAATATATTAATATAAAGCCCAGTGTGTCTGAAAATTTTAATATTTTTAAAAAAAATTTTAATATTTTTTATTGTTCAGAGCACACACACAGACACACACACACACATAGTGCGATGGGTAAGTTGTCGTCGTCTTATATTTTTTAATTTCGCGCTTTGTTTTTTTTTTATTTTGTCGACGGCACTGTATAGTAGGGTTGGTTTGGGACCATTTGAGAGAAAAGGAGCGCCATAACGCAATTTACTCCACCAGAAATTTGGAAACGGTATGATGTACTGCTTAGCATTCGCACCGGAAGCTCCAGTACGGACATTTCAAAATGTGTGTGTGTCAATTTGAGTGCAATGGAGAGGATTCGGAAAGTGTTAGATGATATATCCAGTCAACATCATGGTGTTTGGAGTGATTATTTGTGATGGCAACGTTATGCTTCCATTCATGTTCCCACAGAGCTTCAGACTCAACACGGAGGCCTACATCAAGCGTCTTGATGAGGTAGTGCTACCCTGGATGAAGAGGGTGGCTGCTAGAAGACCCTATGTCTGGCAACATAAGCAGGAGAACCCAGTCATAACCGTCAGGCAATTTTTGCGACCATTTAACCCCTTATATCTGGCCACCTAACTCCCCAGACCTCAACCCTTTTGATTATTATGTGTGGAGCGAAATTGACCGAGGGACCAACAAAACTCCTTGTAACACCAAAGATGAAAGATGAAGGCAAGGATTATGGCAGCATTCACCAAATTAAACAAGGAGACCGTCCAGAAGAGTTGCAGGAGATTCCGAAGTCATCTGGATGCCGTGAATGAAGCCAAAAGCAATTTTACTGAATAAATTTACTCTTTAGTATTTCAAGATATTTTTTGTGTAATTTTCGTAAATATATCTGGTAAAATGAGATGTCAGTGTTATTTTCATTTTTGCGTAATTTACACAACAATTAATTCATCGCGCCCTATATATATATATATCCGTACCAATAATGTGTTTATTAACGTAATTGTAGGAGTCGCAGCATTAAATGACGTTCATGATGGAGACTGACTAGGAATCTGAGAACGCATGTACAAAGAGTGGGAATTTCTTTTTACCTTTTATAAAAACAAATGTAAAAAGTAAAACAGACACAAAAAATTGAAATGGAAAAAACCTCAAGCTGTTCAACCCTACGCAACCTGACATGATAGTGGGAGTTAAATCTAGATCGGGAAAGAAATCCAAATCCAATTCTTTGGCGCCGGATAGCATATTCTAACCACAATTCTTAATATTTGGTCAATGATGCCATCTTGCAAACATTTCTATCTTTAAATGTTTGTATCCTGTTTCTTTAGAAGCTACACTTTTTTAATTTCTAAATCTTTTTTTATTCTTTCCAAAGTTTTCTCGCCTTTGCATCAACCTGTATATATATATATATATATATATATATATATATATATGTGTATGTGTGTGTGTGTGTGTGTGTGTGTGTGTGTGTGTGTGTGTGTGTGTGTTTGTCTGTCCGTACTGAAAAAGTACAGATGATTCCTTATTTAAGCATACACACAAAATTCTTTTTTTTAGTTTTTTTTGGGGGGGATATGATGAAGCCTTGAAAGGCGAAACGCGTAATCAAATCTATTTTTAATGAAGCGTTTTCCATTTGTCAAATTTCTTAAAAACATTTATATGTTTAATCAAATAATTTCCGAAATCAATATTTTAAATTTCGAGAAAAATAAACCCACACGCATACTAATCATTCAATATCAATATCGACTGACGACGCCATTTTCCTGCTGTCTACGTATCGTTCCCGTGAGATTTCATTATACAAACTCCACTGCCAAAAATATTTGTGCAAAATATGTTCTTATTTTGTTAATTACTTTTGCTGTCTCCAAAATATCATTACAACCAAGGATTTTGTTTTCTATTCCTCATCAGCTTTACTCATTTATTGCTGTATGCAATTTTTAGTGGAATTTCAAATTTCATTAATATTCTAATATAACCATAGAAATTAAAATCACGTCTCAGAATCAAAATGAGACGAGTTATCGGGTGAAGTAACGTTTTTTATCGCCTTCACACCAGCTTATTCTTGTTTTCTGTGCAATTTCCTTTTTTTAATGTTGCTAGACTTTTAATTTGTTTTTTTTTAATTTGTGTCCATGTGATATTCTTTAAGTAAGGTTTTTTAAATCATTTCATCCAAAGCCAAGCGAAAATGCCACTAACACACAGGAGGTTACTGGGCGCAAAAGCGAATGAGAAGACTTTAGTGAGGAGGAAGGAAATTAAAAAGAACAATTTTAGGAAAACAGAAGATGGCGATGGACGTTGCATTTTAATTTTTCAACAACATGGGAGACAAAGAAGCAAACAATCGGGAGGAGTGAAAAAATAAAGTATTAGAATAGAAATTACAGTTGCATCTAGCAATTTCAACGATTAATAATTCTCATTAATGACCTTCCAGGTGTCATGAGTTTTCAACTTGGTATGTATGATGAAGACACAACTACTGACTCCTGTGTTAATAGTAAGTCCGATAGGTTATACAAAGTAGTACTGGCAGGTTCTCTCGAAAATTACCTACAATCAGTTGTTAACTGGAGCAAGAAATAGCTTGTAAATTATAACACCTCCAAAACGAAACTGCTATCTTGTAAGCATCATAAAAAACTCTTGTTTGCCTTCCATCAGCATCGAATATATATTAATATACAACCCAGTGTGTCGGAAAATTTCAATTTTAATATTTTTTTATTGTTCAAAGCACACACAAAACACACACATATATATATATATATATATATATATATATATATATATATATATATCTACACATACATTATGGTGCGATGGTCGCCATAAATTGTTGTACGCTCCGGCCTATGGTTGGAATTTCGATTTTAATTTCTCACAGAGCCCCCCATGCGTTTTTTTTTTATTTTGTCGACTGCGGAAAGGAATAAAGGAGAGTATAGTAAGATGGTGTAAAATCAGGCGTGGCTGACCACATATGGAGAGGAAGGATCCACCGCCCCCTGTGGGATATATATATATATATATATATATATATATATATGACAACCACGAGACCAACCAATGATATTGCAATATGAACTCTGGTAAAGACGACTTCCATCAGCATGGAATATATATTAATACAGAATCCAGTGTGTCTGAAAGTTTGATTTTTTTTCCCCAGATTTTTTCGAATTGAAGAAGGCCGGGCGTTTGTAACAAATAACAAAGATGAGGACAATAGTCACTAATATATATATATATATATATATATATATATATATATATATATATATATATATACACATGTGTGTGTGTGTGTGTGTGTGTGTGTTTTGTGTGTGTGTGTGTGTGTCTGTTTGATTTTTTATTTTTTATAAATATATAAATATATATATATATATATATATATATATATATATATATATGTATGTATGTATGTGCTATATATATTTGGAAAGGTATGAATCTCCTCTTCTCCTCCAGCTATGGGGTAAAATAGCAGGACAGACTGGGTTCTATAGCCTTGGATGGCAACTGGTCTAGGAAAAGGACAACTCTGAATTCAAAACCTGCGGAGGGTCGTTTGGGGACCTTGTCGCACGGAGTGCACCAGGTCTCTGAATTCTCCCCTTCAAAAAGTGTGGATGGTCCTGCACGAAACCTTCACCACTATAATCGAATCTCATGTGCTGGTGTCGGGCTGTCAGTTTCCTGGAAACTGATCTGCTTGACCCTCATACGTCGAACCCGACGGGAGAATCGATATATATAGCAGCGCTCGTGGCCTGATGATTGCATCTAGCATGAAACAGACTGTTGCCTTTAAGTGTTGATTTCTGTGTCCACTTTTATATTTACACACGCTCTATCTCTGATATTGAGCACTTTATCCCATAAATATAGCACATCTTAAGACTATATTTCTTCATATATATATATATATATATATATATATATATATACGCAAACATGGTGCAATGAGTAGATTGTCGCCATTTTATATTTTTAATTTTGAGCAAGCGTTTTGTTTTTTGATTTTGTCAACTGCACAATATAGTAGGATTGGTTTGGCCCTTGTTTGGCTCACGTTTCCCACTGATATGAAGTTAAGTGATTATATTGAACCAATTGCTAAGTCTACTGAATTTAAGCGCAGTACTAGATTGGCAACTAGGTCTCATCGTTTTACTGTTGAAATAGCTAGATGTAACCGTAAGTTCTATTCTGATAGTTTCTTTTCTTGTACATCTCGCTTGTGGAAATCTTTCCATGCTTCTCGCTTTCCAGTCAATTTTAATCTTCAAAAAATTAAATGCAATGTCAGTCATTCACTTCTGTCTTCTTAATTCCTGTTACTTTATTATTCCCACTCCTTAATTATGTTTTTCGTTTTCTCATGTTCTTGCACACTCAATAAGCTCTTGCGTCTCAGTGGCTTTACTACCTTGTTAGGGTCGAAATGAGTTTAAACGTAAGCTATGGTCGTCAACATTCTGATGCGACAATGTCAATAGATTTTACTTTTAACATTTTTCAAAGAATGTTTCAGATTTTAACATGGTTGAATTAATTCTTTGAAACTGGTAAGCGTCAGTTCAAGTTGCACACAAAAATAGCCAATCAATAAAGACTAGAAAGAAATTCAGAAGATAAATCTTTGTTTAAGGATAAGCTGAGTGGAAAGCAAACGCTTATATTTTGTTCAGTGGGAAATATATATTTGATCCGACTTTCTGTTCAAATCAATAAAAGGAAAATAATTATGTAATTAATCGTGCAAGAGTTGGTCAGATTTCGGTTAAATATTCGCCTCACGTCTGTTGATCTAGAGTTTCGTCTTTAATTATTCGATGTAAAAACCGACCTATCGACAGAACTCAAGGAAAACACATTAGCATTCAAACAGAATGTTATTTATGAACAGCAATGCTTCTGTCAAGACTTCTCTTACATTTGAATACTTTGCTAAATCAGGGTGAAAAAATAAAAGAAAGAAAAAGAATCACTATTTCTCGGGCCTGATACCCTTTACCGTTTCGACTTTATGCGACGGACATTTCATCTTTTGGGGTTTCATCGACTTTATTGCGACGGACATTTCATCTTTTTTCACCGGGGTTTCATCTTTTAGGTTTCGCCTTTATGCGACAGACTTTATGCGACGGACATTTCATCTTTTGGGGTTTCATCGCCTTTATGCGACAGACATTTCATCTTTTGGGGTTTCATCGCCTTTATGCGACAGACATTTCATCTTCTGGGGTTTCATCGCCTTTATGCGACAGACATTTCACCTTTTGGGGTTTCATCGCCTTTATGCGACGGACGTACAATTTGCATACGAGATTTAAATTTGGTAAGCCGTATGAACTGATTGTGGGTCCATTTTCTTTGATAAAAATTCTGAATTTAATTTTCTACAGACAGTAGTCTTCTTGAAGTTGTGAGACAAGGAATATCATTATCATCATTCCCATAACCGCTTTAGGTATTTGGGTGGCTACCCAGCTGACCACATGACCAGCTCCTGCCATATATCACGGTTGAATGCCAATGGCTGACTCTGTAAAGGATCTTCCGATCAACCCAGTAACGTTGCCAGCCTATTTTTATCTCTTTCTGCTTCTTTTACCAAAAGTAGAAGCTTGTAGTTCCAAAGAGGAATTTCCTCAGGCTAATAATGGTTTAAACCATCAAGCGGTTTTAAACGGTAACGGACCGTTGTTGTGTTTCTCTCCTTCTTCACTATATATATATATATATATATATATATATATATATATATATATATATATATATATATATATATATATATTCAAACATGTTTAGTTGAATAATCTAGATGTGCCTTTATTTTCATTGTAATCCTCTCGAATTCTTTGATCGACTTCTAAATTTTGATAGTAAATTCATTAAGGAATGCGTCGTAGATCATCTTCACGGTTTTTTAAATGTGTTTAAAATGATAATTATACAAATTAAAGTTAGCTCCCTTAGATCAAGGGCATAAAAAAGACGTCCTAACTTTATCAGTTAATTTCAAATTAATTATAACAGAGCGCGTTCATGCGTGTTTACTAAAAAATCACAACTATCAGTTACATTATATTTTGTCTTACTAATTCAATCGTGAAGATGATCTCGAATGATATTGAAAGTATCTGGGAAAAGAAAAATGAAAAGAAAAGAAAAAAACTACGGTGCCGTCCTTAATGAATGTACTAGCAACA